TCAGGGTTTTTATTTTTGCAGTTAGTTTATTTGTTTAACAAATGAGTGTTTTTGTTTTTGCTTCTTTTTTTTATTTGTTTGTTTGGTTTTGGTTTTTGGTTTTAAGAGTCATGGATGCTCACTCTAGGAAATTTGAAAAATTCGAATGAATAGAAGAAAGGGTGCCCCTCCCATACGTCATAGAGAAATACATTGTAACAATTTGGCTTCTTTCCTAGTAGCCCACCCCGCCAGTTCTATTTTATTTGGTTTCCATTGTTGCTAAATAAATAGGATGATGCTTTCTGATTCATGACTTACAGAGCTGATTTCATGTACTAGCCTGTGATGCTCCCAACGGCTATACTTTGTCCCCTCTGGGAATTGTGGGGGTGGGACACATCACCCTCCCCTGTATTCACCTGACACTTTTGAGAATGCCGCTTTCACAGCACCACTGCCAGTCCTTAAGCAGTATTTTTTTAATCTTATAGTTAATTTCAGGACTCTGAATTGTCCTTCTAGAACCTAATGCTTTCCTTTTTTTTTCTTTTTTAAACCCCAGAGCTTCTGAACATGTGCCCCTCTCTCCGTGAACCCACAGTGATCTGTTTGTTTTGCCTTCTCCCAGCTCGTGCATTCTTCAAGTCTTAGTAACCGGAATGTTTTGTCTGTTCGGCTCAAAACCATCAGTGGGACAGGAACCAAAGTCCCTCACGCGGCATAGGGATGAACCTGGGAAAACAGTGAGCTGCTGACTGCACTGCTTCTCTGAATCAGCTGGGACTTCTTTTTGTCTCTAGTTTTAAAAGCTCCCCAGAGACTAGCTGAAATCCAGAATCTTCTCAATTAGGATGGGGGAAATTCTGAAGTTCTCATTAAATGCATGGATGTCTCAAGCTTCGAGAAGAGCCCAAATGCCGCAGGCAAGAATCCCAGAGTATGGCCCAAACTGGTATGATGCCCTCATAATTGTCTAACGAATTCAGTATGTGTCCCCTGGGTGTGACCATCTGCTGGGCAAAGTTCCAGAACCAGGGGACAGCTTCAGATTCACATGGTGTAGGAAAGACCTTTAACTACCAGTGGATAGTTGTCTCTGTGTTCTTCAAACAGGCAGGTTTTGGTCTTTTCACTGTGGTCTGCTCTGATGTATGGCTGCCACCAGTGTGACACAGAAGGAGGACCTTGCCCTGTAGGCAGGGCCACCTCGAAAGAAGGGGCTGAGTGTGTGGAAGTCTGCAGGAAGAGAAAGCCACCCAGCATGTCCCCAGTGAACCAGTCAGCAGAAGGCCTTCCCCAGGAGGCTTCCAACAGATCCCTGAACGCCACAGAAACCCCTGGGGCTTGGGATCCCCGGACCCTGCAGGCACTCAAGATCTCCCTTGCCGTGGTCCTCTCCGTCATCACACTGGCCACCGTCCTCTCCAACGCCTTTGTGCTTACCACCATCTTACTCACCAGGAAGCTCCACACGCCCGCCAACTATCTCATCGGCTCCCTGGCCACCACAGACCTCTTGGTTTCCATCCTGGTCATGCCCATCAGCATCGCTTACACTACCACCCACACCTGGAACTTTGGCCAAATCCTGTGCGACATCTGGCTGTCTTCAGACATCACGTGCTGCACAGCCTCCATCCTGCACCTCTGTGTCATTGCTCTGGACAGGTACTGGGCCATCACTGATGCCCTGGAGTATAGCAAGCGCCGGACGGCCTGCCATGCGGCCACCATGGTCGCTGTCGTCTGGGCCATCTCCATCTGCATCTCCATCCCGCCGCTCTTCTGGCGACAGGCCAAAGCCCAGGAGGAGATGTCGGACTGCCTGGTGAACACTTCCCAGATCTCCTACACCATCTACTCCACCTGCGGGGCCTTCTACATCCCGTCGGTGTTGCTCATCATCCTATACGGCCGGATCTACAGGGCCGCCCGGAACCGCATCCTGAATCCGCCCTCGCTCTATGGGAAGCGCTTCACCACCGCCCACCTCATCACGGGCTCTGCGGGGTCCTCGCTCTGCTCGCTCAGCTCCAGCCTCCACGAAGGGCACTCGCACCAGGCCGGGTCCCCGCTCTTCTTCAACCACGTGAAAATCAAGCTTGCAGATAGCGTCCTGGAACGCAAGCGCATTTCCGCAGCTCGGGAGAGGAAAGCCACCAAAACCCTGGGCATCATTCTGGGCGCCTTCATCGTCTGCTGGCTGCCCTTCTTCGTGGCATCTCTGGTCCTCCCCATCTGCAGGGACTCCTGCTGGCTCCACCCAGCCCTCTTTGACTTCTTCACCTGGCTGGGCTACTTAAACTCCCTCATCAATCCGATCATCTACACCGTGTTCAACGAAGAGTTCCGGCGAGCATTTCAGAAAGTCGTCCATTTCCGGAAAGCCTCCTAGTCTTTATTGGGTGGTGGCTCTTGTTATCTTGTGCGTCCTGCAACCCAGCTGGGACTGTCTTTTTTATTTTTCCCGAGACTTGAGTTAATTCATGATATCTTGGGTCTCGGTTCAACCAACAGAATGCGTTGATTCTGTGTTCTTTTTCCTGTCCCTTCTTGACTTCTGAGCCATCAAGAACTGGGCAGCTGGGCGAAAGGGGACAGGACTGGAGATTTCGCTTAGCACAATATTTTCACAGTTCCTCTGTGTTGGAAGAAATGTGACCCACAGGATTCCTTGTTGATACAGTTCAGGTGAGAAGCTGTCTAACGCTGTAGAAAAGACCCCCAGCTCAGAGGGAAGGCTCCTCTACCTGAGATCCGTATGGAGCTCAGAGGAGGGTGGATAAGATTAATGACTTATTAATATATTGAAGGAGAATTTGGGGCCAGGATGGAGGGTCTCGGTTCCATGTGGCACCTTGATTGGAAAATAATACCCATGCATATCTTACACTCCGTCCCTTTTAGATTGAATCTCTCCCAGTTGTCCATGAGGAGGAAGTCAGTATTGGAGATGTCAATAATTTAGAGTGATTTGGAGAGATATTCAGTGGCAGTGGGGGAGGACAGTAGGGACTAGATTGAATACCCTGTATCCTTCTCCAATATCCCTGCACCATCTTAATATTCTGAAGTTAAAATCCATTATCACTCCATTGAAGCAGATTGATGAGCTTTGGGCCCACTAAGCTTTGAGTGGGACACTATTCCGAATTTTTTTTCTGAATTATTTTTTTATATCCCATTCTCATTAGAGATCTGAGACCTGATTAGTGATGTTGAGTCTTATCAAATAAAAAACATGAGACGTCATGACCGGTAAAGTCTTTGGGTGATTTTTCCTCCTCTCCCTGAATATAGAAACCATTCAACTCAATTCAGTCTGTAGCATTTATTGAGCACCTACTGTATGCCAGGCCCTGTGCCTGAGTCTTGGCACTTGTTTTCTCATATCATTGAAAGTCAGGATAGCCTGATGAAAAAGATCAGAACCTAATGCCTCCGTTCAAATTCAAGTGCAGCCAATTTCTAGCTGGGTGAACTTGGACACGTTTCTTGACCCCTCTTTGCCTAATTTTCCTGCACTATAA